TTGGTCACCTAGGGGGTAGACTTACATCATTGGCTTTGGGAAGAATCTCCTCGGGGAAGGACCTTAGTAGTAGGCTCTTAAAGAATAGTGATCAGAGGCTTAGAAGTTGTTGGAATCAGTCCAGTGGGTGGGGTCGGCTCAACCGTTGACAAAAAGTCCCAGAAATTTCTCACTGTTCTGCGTCTAGAAGCTACAAGGGAAGACTTCTTCCTTGCTCGGGGCGTCTTTTCCCGAGCAGTCTGGATCGCCTCCTGGTCTGCAACTTGAGTGGCGTTGGGTCGACTCGGCACAACAACGAATGATGTATAAGATGATGTGTAACCTAGCAGTGCATGGGTAGCTCGGAAGAACAAGGTCTCGTTAAAGTTCCAAACCTTTTACAGTTCGTCCATTTTTGCAAAGGACTCAGGAACCCTGCCCCTGACAGTCCCGCCTACACACAAAAGAAGACTTAGTTTAAAAAACAACAAGCAAAAGTTAAATTAGAAGAATGAAGGGTTCAAATACCTGGAGCACCTTCTTCATAAGGACAGTGGTAGGAAGGTGTAGCACCAGCAGCGTATTCCCAATTGCCAAAAACGAAGACCACATCGTTCTCATGACCCTTATTCGAGTCTGGCAGATGGGTTACCAAATACTTTTCCTTCTTCCTGATGGCAAGATAGTAGTTATCATCGACTGACTTGATGATATAGTAGTACAGGATTTCCCAGAGACCCAGACTTAGGTTTAGCAACCTGTTCAAGGCAACAACCCCCTATCACAATCCTGAAAAAATTGGGATAGCATTGCAGGGGGCAGAGTTTGGTGGCAGAAAGAACCCACATAAGGAGAAGATCAAGAAGGAATCAAACTCCACCCTCGGTAATGGCTCGAGTTGGGATGAGAATCCTCTCCCTTGTGCCTATCAGTGGCTCATCTTTCCCAACAACCTGTACCTCGACGTCGTCTGGAATATTATATTTTGTTTTGAAAGTTGGAATTTCGAAAGATAGGAGGGGGCCATTGAAGAAGATGAAATGCAGAAGGAGAGTAGATGTAGGGAAAAGATGAGTCTTTGAGCAGGAAAGCAAAGTGAAGGAAAAGATGGAGAGATAGCGTTTATAAAGAGGGGGAATTTCAAGAGGCTATTTAAATACAATGCATGCCGCCAAAGCAAAAGGGGGATGAACACGCAATGATGATGAAATGGAATAAAACGGCTGATAGACGAAAGACGTTTTTCAGACGTTTTTTGGGGATAAATGAAGGGGCTAGCTCCCATTATTACACGTATTATGACATTAAATGAGCCCACGTGAGGTTGACAAGACCAGTCACGTGACGAAGAAATCATTCACTCAATCTTATAAATTGAGCCATACTGATCAAAGGTTCGGTAAAGAAAGAAAGAATTCGATTTTCATTATGACCGAGCTGATTAAGGTGTTTGGCTCTTACCAAACTGAGCTGATTGACGTGCTCGGCAAACAAGGAAGAAGTTCGGTACTTGTAATGACCGAGCTGTTTACAACGGTATGTGGAAAGATAAAGATTCGCCTATAACTTAGGCATTCGGATAAACGAATTAACGAAATTGTAGATGTCAGGAGGAATTGTTAAAGAAATATCAGCAACTTTCCAAACTGAATCGTTAAATTAAAAGAAGGTGTGCCACATTAAATCAAAAATTATGGAAACCCTAACGGGATAACAATCTATAAAAAACAAAGAAAACCAAGGTGAAAGGTACGCTGAACACTCTCTGTCTTTTTATAATTGTTTCAGTTCTATTACTGACTTAAGTATCAGAGTACTTTCAATTGAAGTACTTCGATCTTAGATAATTTGTTCGTTTTGTAGGAAACAAAGACTGAGAGATCAAGTTCAAAACTCACAATTATTAGAAACGTTCAATCTTTATTCCGGTAAAAGGTATTCTCAATTTTTACTCCTTACATCTCTCAAAATCATTCGTAATATATGTTCAGTTACTCGTAATTTAAAATATTATACCTATAGTGTATACCCCAGAACACATACTGTTAATGTCCATTCAATTATTAAAACTCCTTCAAATCTGATAATATATCCGTGAGTAAAAATCCTTCAAATTTAAAGCATGTAATACTTAAATTCCTGATGAGCTCGGGCTGACCTTTATCTACCGCCTCACCTGGCTCGACTTGCGGTTGCGTACGATCTTTCGTCAAATTCGCCATGTGAGCTCTCTCTCTCTCTCTCTTATATGTCGGTTATTATGCTTTTCCGAAGTATTTCTTGTTTTATAACGGGACTGTAGTGTGTTAAATTGAGCTCCAACATGGCCTATATTGTGCATGTCTTTGGTTAGTCTGCCCGCTCGTGTGCGGGTGTGTTTGTGTGTGCACACAATGCGAGCATAAGAGGAAGATGAAGAGTAAACTTTGTCCGGTTTTTTTTTTTAAAGCTTCGCACTTTGTACTGCATTTCGTCTGTTTGATAAATGGCCCAGTACATGTTGTTTTGTTTTATTGAGATGGCTTATATTTTTTTTGGCACGATATCGTCTGTATCTCATTGGTATCCTCCTGAAGTTGGTTATTTGATAGGAGAGAATGTTGGCCGTCATTTACAATGATGAACATTTTTATGTTAAATATGCTCGAGGATACGAATTTAAACTCGACAAGAAAAATCAGTTGAGCACTTAATGAGGAAAATTATTGTGATGATTTAGTGTGCTCTTTGGACTTCGACATGCAAGATCATAAGAACTTCATTAGATCAGCTATTATGAATTGGGTCTCATTGGTTTCCTCATCTCTATTCTTAGAAGAATTCTTATTGTTCCTTCCCCTTTAAGGGGATGGAATGATTTGAAAAAGAGACAAAACGAGGTTTTAATTAGACCAAGGCATTACCCATTGTAGGTATCACTATTACTGTGAAATTGGATATATAATCAATCAATGAACTCTTAACGTAGCCCTTATGATCTGTTTGCACTATAAGGCAATGGCAGGGTGACAGGTTTATTGAAGAGAATATTTGAGTGGACGAACTTTTTAGGTTTCTCATTCTTGAGGCTCAAGATGGATAAGCCATATTGGGAGTGGAAGAGAATTCCTTTGTTTTTTTTTTCTTTCTATAATATTTCCTATTCTTCTCTTTATGCACCCCCATAAAGTTGCTATAATTTTATCCTCTTTTAAATTATTTATCTACGATTTAAAGGGTGTTCTTATAAATCTTTCTTGTATTGGTCCATTTTCTACCGTGGCTCTTGGTAGCTTATTTGCTATCATGATTATTGGCACATTAGCTTTCTTTTGGAAGACGTTTGAATACTTTGAATCCAGTCTGCATTTTTGCCTATCTAGAACTTTGAGTAAGGTGTTCTTCCATACGGTTCTTGATTCCATAGATGAATACGATGTACTTTCCTCATCTGACCAGTGGAACTCATCGAATAGCCATATATCATAATAGTTATGTACGCCCGTGAAGTCATTCCTCCTTGAGCTCGCATGAGAAATTCTTAATAGTTTTGATAAGAAATACAAGATGAGGGTTTTCTGTGTACTTGGCTCCCCATAAATAAATAGCTGTTTTGTTTTTATGTGTCTTTTGCATATGAGTTGGCAACAACGATTAATTACTACTATAAAACAAGCTCGTATTTTATCTTTGTTACATTTTTTTAATAATGAGAAACAATTTGAAAGAATTGAGTCGACGACTGGAACTACTAGTCTTTGAACCAAAAATAAATAGACTTCCTCTTTCTTCACTTGAATCAAAATTCCAATCCGAACTCAAAGGCAGAGTGATATTTTGTTCGAAAAATCTAAGAATCCAAATTTGATTATCATGTCGTAAGAAAAAAAAAAAAAGAATCGGGGAAGTATAACCCTTCCATCCTTGGAGGAGCACGATGAAATGAAGAGAAGAACTCGAACATGAAATATGGTGGAAACCAGAAGTGGGACAACATTATGGCTTGGAATTCAATGACTATCGAGGTACTATGTTGGCAAAAAGAAAAAAAAAGAACTCTTTTTTGTGACAAAGAGTGGCCTTGATTCATTAATATATAGATGGAAATTGTTTAGTTTGGGACTTTTTTAAGAAGAATAAGCAAAAAAAAAATAGGATTTCATATTAGTTAGATCAGCATGTGCCAATCTATGGGCTCTTGTGATTCGGCAACCTTGAGTGACTTGGTTTGTTTAGGTTCAATCATACAAAGCAATGGCCTAATGAAGGTGCTATATCTTTTTGCAGTCATTGGAAAACCACAACCCTATAAAGATGAAAAGGACAATATTGTATGCAAACTGTCTTGTTCTATGATATCAGAAAGGGAAAGTATGGGTGGTCAGTGGCAATGCTAAGAGGAAATGACATGGACTTTGGGTGTCATTTCTAGTTGTTTTCATGGGCCTCCACCCATTAGTTGTACACATGTGGAGCTCCACCTCCCAAAAGCTTGCTGTGGTTTTTTTAGAAACATTGTGAATCAGATAAACTTACCTACCAGAATTATGGTATCGGATTTATACTCATTTTCTATAACATCATAAAGGAAAGATGAGTTTCCCTTGCAAATTATATTTCTATAGCTTATTATTTATCAAAATGTTTATTCGTACCGCAGCTTGTGTTTTTGGTCCAACTTTTCTGTTTCAGATATACCGATTACAGAAACATGAATTTTCAAATATGATGCAAATTACAAACGTAAAAAATGACTTATGGAACCCTTTTCTGCTCTCTTTGGCTGCTTTTGTGGCTTGAACTATCTCATATTACCTGAAATGTTTAGTTTTCTGACGAGTCTCATTTGCTGTCAATGCATCAGCAGGATCCCACTTATTGAAGAATTTTGGGTTTCAAACTGCCCCATGCAGATCCAGAATCCAGTTATGCAGATAACAGTGGGCTTCAAGGTCTGTTGCCTTTTGCTTTTTGATGTAATCTGAGACAATTGTTTTCTGTTCTCTGCTTGTATCATAATACAAATCTAATCTATTCAACATATTGGAGATTCATTCATTATCCAGAAAATTACATTTCCTCATTAGTATTATTTGACCATCACCAAAGGGAGTACATGTGATTCTTAGAAGGAAGTGATCAAAATTGTCAACTCGATTCTCATCTATATCTAACATTATTCCTTAGTTAAAGAAAGAGAGAACTTTTCAAAGTGGCTTCTTTGCCAAATTGGGTCCTCTGATAAAAATTGCATTATATTACCCGCTGCAATGCTATATAAGCAATGAGCCGATAGCCCACCAACATCAGTGCCATGATGGCCACATCTATCCACAAGTTGTTTAGGCCTACTGACTTAATGGCAGGAAAATCTGCAACCCGGCAATAGATTCCTTTTGAGCACTCGTAGTAGTCATCCACATTGTACTGAACCCCAAGGAGAAGCTTGTAACAATAGTAACTGTAGCTCAAGTACTTTAACCAGACTATGAAAGGAGGGATTTGTTGAATATAGTACCCTCCAGCAATGAGGAACGCAAGGGTTGTAACGGAGGCTAGAGTAGTGGCTTGTTTTACATCCATAAGTATCGCCCCTATGGCTAAGCCAAGACTTTGGGAGACAAGGACACTGTACAGAACAACTAAAAGGGAAAGGAGGAAAGTGACAGCATTGGGTTTTAGTCCACCCATCCAGTAGATTATGAAGGTAAAGGCAGTTGGGAGTGCAAGCTCCAGTGGCAGGTCTCCGAATGTTCTAGCTAGAAAATAAGAGGAGAGGCGGTACATTCCAGAAGATCGTTCCTTTATTAGCATTCTTCTTTCTTGGGGAAAAGTGAACACAGCATTGTAAAGTGGGTAGAAGCCCCAGAACACGGAGAAGAAGAAAAGCATGGCAATCTGCACACAAGAAGCAAATCTTAGTATCCATGAGAATCCTGTGCTATTTATATCAGAAATTGATCTTCTGCGAGTTCATTTTCTTGCTCTGGAATTTGTCTATTTGTCAGAAGTATTCCGTAGGGAAAATCATAGATATCATGTCGTGGCATGTAGGAAATTTCGAAGTGGAATGACTTTGAAGTAATATGTAAAATTACAATGCTATGGAAGTTATAAATCATTAGTTTAGCAGGAGTAATGTTAGCATCTTTCTATAGGGTGAATGTTCAGTAAAATCCTTACGCGATCTTCAATGTGGGATGTCGGGGTATGCCACCATAGGAGTCCGCCAAGTACGGCGACACTTATCACTTGGAAGATTCTTAGCCTGTTGAAGGCTTCAAACCGCCGCTCTCTTAGCCCTCTTAGAAGCAGCACCTTGAACTGATGCCACCAACTTGTGCACCATTGTTCTGACTTCACGTTACGCCCTGCACCATTTCAACATATCAAAAGATAGTTGTGAGTAGCCATAACTTAGCCAAAAGAGATGGACATTTGATGCTGAGCTTGCTGTTGTCTTGCTAGGTAAGACTGAGAGGGATAAGAAAGGATTCTTACTCGTGGAAGCATTTTTTGCATAATTGTAATTATTGACATCGGAACTGCACAGCTCAACTTTCAGCCTTGCAGAAATGTGCTTATCATAAGCAGAGACGAGAAGTTCCCTAACATACTTCGGCTCTTGCTCTGGGTTATCACCTTGCTCTATTGTCTGCTTAGAATCAGGTCCAATTCCTGCAATTTTTAGTTTTTCATGATCTTCGTATTTAAACTTCATTTTCTTGTTATTTCTGGAATAACAAAGATGACAATTGAAAATATTGTTGCCTCTACAGTATATGAGACTAATTGAAGTACGACGTCTGTTAGTGTGGTGGTCACTTTCCTTTAGTCCACCAAACTGAATGTGGGGCAATCTGGGGGTGGGGCCATTTTATACTGCTTTTATACAAAGCTAGCATAATAACCACCACTTTAAGTTGGCCTAATGACATCCCAATTTGTGTTAATGAAAAAACGAGAAATAGATGTAAGAAATGATGAATAATAGACAGCCTTCCCCTCCTATGACCCCTCTAGCTCAACATTATGAAAAAGTAAAATCAAACCCGAATTTCGGCTAGGAAAACTTGTGAAAAGCAGGGAATTTCTATTTACCATTAGCAAGATCAAGCAAGAGGTCCGCAGGATTGACGATGAGGGATGTGGAAAAACCTATTGAAGAGAAGTATTCCAAGGCAGTTGATGCAGGACCAAAGTATATTGGGGAGCCCTCAGAGAGCAAGACCACCTTATCAAACATGTGGTAGAGTTGGCTTGAGGGCTGGTGAATAGTAGTGACCACACTTCGACCCCCACTTGCCAGCTTTTTAATAATGGTCAGAATCCGCTGAGCTGTGGTTGAGTCCAAACCTGAGGTGGGTTCATCTAGCAACAGTAAGCTTGGGTTGATTAGCATTTCCTGACCTATGCTTACCCTTTTCTTCTCTCCACCTGAGATTCCTCTGAATAGGGGCCCTCCTATCATATTGTTCTGGCACCGTGTTAACCCTAACTCTGTGATCACACTCTCCACTTGGTGAACTTTCTCATCCCTGGTCAGGCTTTTGGGTAGCCTGAGTAGTGCAGTGAATATGAGGGTTTCAGTTACAGTGAGATGAGGGTATAGAACATCATCTTGGGCAACAAATCCTGTTTGACGTTTAATGGACCCCGAAAAAGGCTGGCCGTTGTAGGTGATCTTTCCTGATAATTTACCCATAAGACGCCCTCCAAGGGCTGTAAGTAGGGTGGTCTTTCCACTGCCTGATGGACCTAACATCGCTAGTATCTCCCCGGGGCACACCATGCCTGTCACTCCATTTAGTATGGTCTTCTCTCTAGTTCCCAGTGTTTCTCCACAGCATATTCCTTTCTGCTCAAATCTGACTTTGTAAACAATCTCTTCAAACTGCAATGAAATACAAAATCAGCACAATACACTACACTTAATTATTACAAAATGATAACATATTATATGAAATTTGCAATACCTGTACAAAGTTTGAAAGTTCTCTGTTTATGCTACTATACTACATATGTTTATATGGAAAAATCACTTGGCTTCTTTCTTTCTTGCTCGGTTTATGTGTGTGTGTATGTGAGAGAGAGATAGAGAGAGAGAGAGACCTTTAAAGTTATGGGGTATGAGGTCACTTGAAGGGACTGTGAATTTGGCTGTACCGAATAAGGAAGATAAGCCCTGTCATGGGGCTCTGATATATTTGCCACAGCTGCCATGGGATCGGTATCTCTATTTTCTGGTTTTGGCACTACACAGCAGAGGGGTGTGACCAAGTTGAACCAATGTTGGTGCTGTTTTTGGTGTTAGACTGCTGGTAGTGACTGGAGGGAGGGATAGAAGTTGAAGATGTTGCTCTTGGCTTCTCAAAGTGAACGGGACAAAACAAATATATAAACATGGCCACGGAGATGAGGATCTCGAAGGCACCCTGATGTAGGCCTAGCCTCCGTGGTGGGTTCCCACCTTTCTCTTAATATACTCTTAACACTAACTCCTAATCCATATTTTATACTCATCTCTTTCTGAGTTTCCTCTTCCCTTCATCTGATTGGCATCCTCAGTTTCTCTCTCTCTCATCATTTGATGCTTGCTCTTCCTATAAATTTCTTTTGAATCTTGTTACAGTGACCAAGGGTGCATGGATCGTTATGCATCTTACATCCAACAAGAAGTGGGGAATGAGAAACATGCCACTGAGCATATCATTTTAGAAGACTTCCCCAAGTCACTGATGTGCTTGAAAACCAACTTTTTGGACACTAAGTATCTGCATAATGATTCATGAAACAATTTGGACCACCGGAAAACCAAATATAGCAGTACCCTAGGATTTAGGGATCATAGACATTATTTGTTAGCATTTGTAATGTATATGCTATATATGTATGTTGTATGCATTTGAAACAGGAAAGGAGTGAATTGTTGTGTACTTCATAATTAATATATATACAGTGATAGTGCTCCCCACAGGTCACTTCAACCATCTTAGCTATTTTATATCTATGTATAGTCTTTTTCAAAAGGCATCCTTCACTTTATATGCATCTCTACTAATTCTTGTGCTTTTGGTACTATTTCTTTTTGTTTGTTTATATATTTTTTTATTTTTTTCCCCTTACACCCTTTTATTTATATGTAAAAAAAAAACATTTTCATTTACAATTCGTCATTTTTCCTATCTCAGTTTTTATGTAGACGAGTAGTTCACTGTGACAAAAGAAAAAGTTGTTCTATTTTCTTTTTATATAACCTTGTACCGTTTCTCTAGATTAGAGGTCTATGGTGACTTCGTAGAACTACAGTGCAAGGTGAAATGCAAAATGCTACTGTTCACCAAAATTCAAAGTTTTTCAAAGTTAGTGGTGATGAATATTGATTGAGAGTAGACTAAAAACATAGAGATGGTGGAATGAATTTTAGCAGAGGGAAATACAACATCACGGAGAAGGGTTTGTGGATGTGAGCATGAGATCCCATCTTGAAATTGTACAAAAAATTCCTAAAAACAAAAATTTAAATTAAACACTTGTATTTCTTGATGAGTTGTGAGATTTATTGTTTCATCTTTGTAAGAAGTAACAAAGATATGAAATGCATACTACCCAGAATGTCAGATGCTATTCTTCAAATTTTCTTTGACCTGTTTATTTACTGGCTTGCTTAGATTGGGGAATCTTGTTGAAAGCTCTTCTTATTATTGTCTTCTTCTTCTTCTTTTTTTTCAATGATTTATGGGAAGCTTTTCTTGAGCATCATGTTTAGGTTAAGACCAAGAATGGATTTCCATAGGGCTGTCTCTTTCTGTCTCACACACAACACACAAATACATATAGACACGAACACAAACACGAACACAAAAACAAGCATAAATGAAGAACAGAAGAAGCTTATGTGTAAGCTTGAGAAATTGTTATAAAATATCTGTGGTATTGATTGCATAGCGTCAACTTTTCTAAAATGCCTTTACATAGGCTGATGTAAAATTAGATTCAAAGGTCTTTCAAACTTCTTGGTGGTGCACATGTCACTTTTCCATTATATATATATAATAGGATATCCTGGGCTTCAGTGGGTGCATTTATGCTTCTCTATGATCTATAGAACAAAACTATAAAAAAATGTGAGAGCCATATGCTTGCAGAAAAAAGTTCAGCTGAGATCAGGTCAAATGAATTTTGTAGAGATTAATAAACCTTTTGGTAACACTTTTTTTTAAAGATTTCTTTAGCAAAACATTAATTTCTTCATAAAAGTAAAAACATATTTGATTACTTTATAGTATAAGTGATTTATATGAAACTTAGTCTATAAATAATATATATTTCCCCAGTAAGTTTATAAATAATATACTTATATACATGCATATGTATAGTAGTATACATGTGATTAGGCCTTGAAGAGGGGAGAGATGTATATACATACCAAAATAATTGCTAGTTTAAAAAATACTTAAAAAAATTTAGGGAAAAAAAAAGAAGAGAAAGTACTTAAAAATGTTAGAAGATAAAAAGCGAAAGAACAAGTGCTTTTTTTTTTTATGGTAAACCAACTGATTCTCTTATTCCATTTATAATGATTGTGCTTTTGTAACTGTAGTTTTCAACATTTCTATATCCCAAATTCGGTATGACTATTATATGATTGCATGTTATAATATCTCTAAATATTCATTAGAAAGGTGGGGATGAAGGTAATTAGCAAAGTCTTCCCTTCAATGTTCTCTTTCTCCCTCTTCCTTTTTATTTATTTTATGTATTTTCACTCTCAGAGAGAGAGAGAGAGAGAATGGGATTCCAAATCTCTGTCCAGAAAATATATTTTTGCAGAGCAATGAGATAGGAGTTAATGGCTCCGGTGGAATGGAACAACTCTTTTTAGTGTGTATTCTTTGGCTACTTGACGCTAGCCTTGCCATTCCCCAACTTTCATTTTGCTAATCCTTGTACTCCATCTTGTTCATTGCTATGTAGTCAAAGGAACTATCTTTCATTAGTGCCCTTACTATGTCAATAAGAAAGTATCAATTTAGGTGGTTTAAAAATATGCATAGTAGACATAGTAGTGTATCAATAAGAAAGTAAGTAATTCAATACACTGACATAGTAATGTGAGAGGTGGAGTTAGATTGAGATTAATTTTAAATGGGATATTAAAAAAGATATAATAATTTATTGTTTACAATAAAATATGTCTTTTGATAAAAAACAATGAAAAAAGATAATTCATGTAGTCGAATTTGGAGGTGAATCACGACTACTCAAATAAACTTGCATATTGATTTATTTTATTTTATTTTATTTTGTAGGACTCTCCTTGCTAACAAAGATATCGCCCACGTGTACTACCATGATGATTAAATTAAAAAAAAATATATATTTTGTTAAACCAGTGTTTCAACATGATAGAGGTGGGTGACAAATAATTTGTATTACCGTGTTGCAAAGGATGGAACACTCTAATCGAGAATGAAATTTCACATGAAAAAAGAAGAAAATATATATTTCATTTGCGAATGCAATATTTGAGTACGAAGTTAAACTTAATTAAAGTTAGAAAGTTGTATTTTTTTTGGCTATTAGGTGTCTAGGTTATTACCTGGAACTCAACAATTGTTATTGATGAGCCCAGATTTTACCGGACCAGACCTAAAAAATCAAATAAGTCCAAATCAATTAAAAAACAGGTTAAGTTCAGTTCGTGAATTCGATACAGCACAAAGTCAAAGGAGTTTAGGAGATAAAAATATGTGGGGAGCAATCATCGGGATACCCACTCTCAAATATCAAGACAATCTTTAATTGTACTTATTTTTTGTAGTTATCCTCTCTGAAAGATTAGTGCCTTTACCCTCACGTCACCGCCTCACTTAAGTGCTTCATACCTATAAATTGTAAACTCTTTCTACATATCTCTCAATTAGCTTTTTCTCTCTTCTAGCTATCATACCCCTTCCAAAAATAACTATTGTTCCCCCTCTTTCTCTTACCTTACTTTATTAATAAAAGTTTTCTAGCCATCGTTGTCGTTTCATAGAGTAGAGTAAGTCATTCGAACTGAATCACTATATATCTGTGTGTTGACCCATTATTTACCTTGCCATTGATTGCTTTATCAATTGTCTCATTAATTCTCCAACATTATTCACTCGATTGTTGATCTTGCATAAATCTATTTTGTGCATCATTAGTTATCATAACTTGAGCTGAATTAGAGCATGCCTCTAAGAAATAAGAGTGACTGACCCTTAGGGGGTGTAGAAAATGATTGAACCTCAGATCTCTGAGTTATTAAAGGTCAAACTCAACCACCGAACAATATTTAAAGATTTAGAAAGTTACATTTAGTTAAATTAGAGTCCTAACAAAAAAGAGATAATAAATACTATGGATCATCGGGTTTTAAAAGATTGAACAGTATAGTCATGGATAAATTTTTCCTTTTCTATAGTTCCATAATTTAAATTTATAAAATGTTTAGAATATTTATGGTGGTGATATATATATATATACTATAACTATTAATAAAAAACAACTAAGTGAGAATTTTTTGATTCTCAAATATGCCCTTGACTATTATTGCAAAATCTATTTAATTCTTGATTCAATAATTAGCATAATAATAATCAATTTAACTGACATATGGATCAATTATCAGTTAAGGTTGGATCACTTTATAGACACTCCAAAATTCTAAGAATTAATTATCGACGAATTGGATCTCTTTATATTCTCTATTCTTTTAGATCACAATTGATACAAATTCTTTGAATTCTTTTCCATCAATGATCAATGTATTAAATATTAACCGGAGATCCTCCATTATTCAAACATCAATATTGCTTACCTTTCAAGTTTTTTTATTATTTTAGCATTTTTTTTTCTGTTAAAGTAGAGGGGTGTTTTAATAGATTATGAATCTTGATCAAAGTTTTGATTTTTCAAGAGAAAAAGTGATCAACAACTTTATCATATAATATTTTATATATAAAATGATATACGAATAACAATTAGTATATATATATATATATATATATATATTTGGCTAGAAAGAACGGTGGTCATAATTGTCGTTTGTGAATTCATGAAAAGAGTTGGGAAATCGACGCGTGTCACGCACTCCGTGTGGGAAGAGTTGGTCTTAGAATTTATGCTCCCCACGATAAGATGGCCTACACATGCAAGTTTCTGATATCATATTGGTCGGGCCCCACCCACTCGTTGTCCTGCATTCTCAATTAGTTGATTTCCTCCTTGATTTCCCTTTCTAATATGAGAGTGAAAGTTACCTTCCGTAACTTTCACTCTCATATCTCGTCTTGTTTTTTTCTCAGTTGGGCCTTTCAGCTTTCCACCTCTCATCTCTCCAAATTATTGCCACGTTATCAACCTTAATTACCTTTTGACTTATTCATCCATGGGTCGGATAGAAATGTCACTCATAAAAATCTAACACGATTCGATTATTCAACACGAATTAAAA